GGTAAGCAATTGCATTGTGCATCACTTATTTTGCATATTCTATTATTATTATTATTATTATCATTATTATTTTCCCTTCCTTTTCTGTCCTATTAAACTGTCTTTATCTCAACCCACAAATTTTACTTTTTTTTTCCCGATTCTCTCCCCCATCCCACTGGTGGGGGGGAGTGAGCGAACGGCTGCGTGGGGTTTAGTTGCCTGCTGGGTTAAACCACAACACTGGGCCTGCTTGCTTACATTAGTTTCAAAGCAGCTGAACAAAAAGCAAATTAACAGAAAACAGAGAAAAGTGTAAGTAAAAGAAAACCAAAAGAAACATTGAAGAAACTTCTTCCAGGCCACATAGCAAGACAGTGTCGATGCTGGAGTTCCATTGTATGAGTTGTTCAAAGATTTGGGACAACCTAGCTGTCTTAGCAGTGATTCATATAAACAACAAGAAAAATCATAAATAGTAACAATTACGGTTGATATCATTTGGTGCCGGTGCCAGGAGTAGGCTGCCTGCCAAGGAGAACATTCCTCACAAGTTAGTCCTACAACGTGCTGGCAGCCAGCAGCGCCTGGAACGAATCCGATGTTCTGCTCAGTTGGGCTGCTCCCAGGGCGTCAGCGAGGCAGGGCAACGCAGGGGTGCCTCAGAGAGCCCCCCAGGATGCACGGAAACGGGGCCATTCCCTCTTCATCCGCACAAGGGAGGCTTTGTGATAAGTGGAAGCCTTTTGCTAAAGTTTCTGGTGTAAGGAAGAGGAAGAAAAAAACACACTAGGGAGGTCAGGCTCTGCTTCTCAGACATTTGTTTTCATCTGTGAGCATGCCTTAAACTGAACTATTCTCTTTTATTTAAAATATTGTGTTTCACAGTGAGGAACATGTCGAGATTTTTAGCAACAATCTCCATGATAGTTGACAGCTAGCACAGATGATTGTTTCAGGATGTAAAGCATATTGTAGCTTTTGGACTTGTAAGCATCAGATTTTGCGTACTGTAGTAGGAGAGGCACTTGTAAGAGAAGGGATTTAAAACTAAAGCAAATCCATGTTCAGTGCAGTTCTTTCTGGAGTCTCCAAAAGGTTAAGGGTAATTTCTTTAAATCCTTGACTTCCACCAGAGAAAAATGCAAGCCTACCCTGTTGAAGGCTGAACTGCCTTTCCATTTTTGAGAATAGCATTTCCTGATACCGTTTTAATATACGGTAATGGGATAAAATAATAGGCAAGGAATATGCTTGCCTACTAACTTAATATCAGATTAGGACAGTAGACGCTACCGCCATGCCACCTTACCAGTACAGCACTTATACGAGTGTCTGCTAAAACGCTTTTTGAAGTTCAGAAAAAATTAAGTATCTTCCGTCTCCTACTGCTCATAGTAGCTGTGAACATTTTTATTTCACACTAAGCAAGCACAGAGTTTCCTATGCTGACAAGTTCAGACAATTTCAGATTCTCTGAGTCTGCACAGCTACATTTTCCAGGATGATTGATTACATTTGACTCTCTGTGACCTTAAAAGAATATTCAAAGAACAATTTCTGTGAGTAGCTAGAAGTTGTAATTTTTTCAGTAAAAGATGGCAACTTCTGCTGTTGAGAATTTAATGGAAACATATACTATGTTCTGTGATGTGCTTGACTTTAACTAAAAACAAGAAAAGCAAAAAAGAAAAAAAATCCCTTTTATGTCACCATCTATCTTTCTTAAACTTTACCTGAGTTAACAATCATCATCGTGATTCAAGTCATAAGCTTAAAGATAAAGATGGGGAATCTTTTGTCAGAAGATAGTATGTATCACTGAAACTCTGTAGAACTTACCAGATTTAATAACCACTAGGTTATTGACTTCATACTTACATTCTTTTTACTTATACTTTTTTTGGCTCTTAAAATCATCACAGGTCTTGGTTTCAACCTGACACTAAATAAAAACTGAAAATAGAAAAAAAAAATTCATAAGCAGGGAAGTAACTTTTCAGAAGTTTAGACACTTTAGAGCTTGAAGTAGCTCGGTTCAGGGAACTTGTGCTTCTCTCCAGTGTGGTAGCACAACGATGGTGACCCCTCCAAGAGCCCAGGTTTGGAAGGAAGTCTGCAGTGTCAAAGTGTGCTCAGCATGTGAGAGCCCGTGACACGAAACTTTCTTCTACCCCTGTCTCAAAGCCTATTTACACAAAGCATTGACTGTTCTGAACTCAGGCATGCTATTCCATTTCATTGCTGTCGTCCTGTATTCCAATCTCTAGTTATGTTACCTTGAAAATCATGACACGATTTGCTGACTCCTTTCTTGAAAGGAGATTTTGTGGTTTTATTGGTGGAGAATTTTTTTAAGCAAGACATCAGATAACTTGACTACATGCTTCATATGTCTTTTCCTAGAAAAGACGATTTTAAAATATGCAAGCAATGTATTTTAGTTAATTAAGCACATCTATACCTCAATAAAAAGAATATTGTATGCTGGCTGATACTGCAAACATCTTTGCTAAAAAGATTTCTTTGCAATTATCAGTATCATCTTAAATACAGGAAGAGCCTTGAAATGTGTTTTTAAGTCCTGAAAGCAGAACACTGAAAGTGCCTGGATACAGATGTAGCCTTTTTAAGCCTAAAAAGAAGAGGATTTAAAAGGACTGAATAGCTCAAAGGATTAGCAATGAAAGACAGACACTTTCACATATAAACTTGTCTGAGTTCATCCAAATTCAACAGCAGCTTAGGTCATCAAATTAAAAGAAGCTTTGGTGGTTCACTGGAAGCAAGACTGTGGCTCTCAGCCCAGTTTCTAGAGAAAAGTTACTCATCAAAAACATGCCTCTATTTGGAGTTCATACTGGGTGTTTCAGAAAAGACCAAGAAATTAAAATACACAGAGCAGTTATCTTAAAATATCTGGTATTAGTGGCCTAGCTAGAATAGCATGTGGGGAGCACAACCTCCCTTTTTTCAGTTGTGGATATGCAATGCAATCCATGGATAAAAGCAAATTTTTATAGTATTACTAATGCAGAATTTTCTAAAAACATGTAATATATTCAGTAAGTGGGAAGGAGAGTTCAGGTGATTCCCTACTGAATTCCTCACTCCTAAACTTAAACTCTGTTTATAGCATAATGCGACTTATCATTTTACATTGTTGTCGTGGGCTTTCTTTTGTACAGTCCTTCCCCATAAAACTGGACTCAGATAAAGCTGGACTCCTTTCTGTCAGGAACATTGTAGGAATGTATCATGCTTTTATAAGACACCGCTATCATACATACACAAGGGACACTGGTGGGCCTCAAGTGCTTGAGCAGACAGTGGTGTCAAAGGCACTGAAGTCGCTATGACGAGCCACGACCAGAGCTGCCGGGCCGGGGCGAGCATGCAGGTCACTGCCCATCCACTCGGGCTGAGACAGTGGGAATTCCACGAGTGATCAGGTCTCATTCTTGCCCAGCAGAGCAGCCAGTAAACGGGACTACTGCATCCAGTTACCAGCTTGACTTTCTGCATAAAAATTCTTCAGTTTCATGGGCATGCATGTTTCTCCAAGTGTAAAAGACAAAGCTAGACACTGGGAAAAAGGCACAGATTTTCTGAGAAGCTACAAATTAATAGTTCCCCAAGCAAAAAAATGGTGGAGGGAGAAAAATGCATTTTCCCTTAGGCATCTTCTCATATATAAGCATATGAACATTCTAGATACATTCATGTGGCTGTAAGCTTATTGAAATCAGTAACCCCACAAAGACAAGCAGTATTTTAATGAAAAATAATTCCGTACACTTCTCTACATCAAAGCACCCATGCACTTGGTGTTGGCTGCCCTTTATTCATGATCCAGCTCTCTCAGTCTGCGTGATCAAATTAATTATGTGCCTAGAAATCAAATAATCTCCTTATGTAGGTGTTGTGAATACACAAATGCACACACATTATCAGACTGTTTGCCTCTTCTGCTTTAAAAATGGGGGAGGGACGGGTCCAGAGCACTCTAGCTATAAATGCTTTCTGTATATCATTACATGGTACACTTGCACTCACCAAACTCAGGCTGGCTGTAAAAATAACCCTCTCTTGAAGAGCAGACGTTAATTTATCTACTAGGGTTTCCACCTGTTAACATTTTTCAGAGAGGGGCCCTGTCTGGAAATAACTCTGTATTTCATGATGAACTCTATGTGCTTTACTGGACAGAAGCAAGATGTGACTCATTGCTCTGAGATGTGTAAGTATTAAACCTGTTTCAGCCGTGGAGGCTTAGACTTGTCTGATAATAGACAGACATCAGTGGCAGAGCTGAAAAGAGACCACAAAAATCTGGACTCTGAGATTTTTATTTTACCCGAAAGAAATGTTGGCACTCTGAGAGTAATCTCAAGAAATAAGTCACTGTGAGGAAGACATCACTGAATAGGAGCAGCAGGCTCTGCTTTCTAGAAGATAGGAGAATATTTGCATCAGTCAATAGGACATCTTAGTGATCTTTAAGCCATGCTTCTCTCTCCTGCTGGTCACAAGGACATAATAATGATCACTGGGAGAGTCACATTTTTGATCACTGTGGGATTTACTCATGTGTCCTTGCATTACAAGTTTTGCTCTGAGGCTATTCTCAAGTTACCTGCAATAGTTTTACGAAAGATTTCAAAGGGGGGGAGGGCGGGAGGGAATGAACATATAGCAGGACATCATTTATTAAAGGATATTCCTATTGCCCTAACCACCATGATACTACATCATTAAATCAAATTAAGCAGAAGGATTACTACTGAAACAATAGTCAAAATCAGCTGTTCCCTGTACTGTGCTCCCAGTTCATGCCTGTCTTTTCAAACTTTTATCAACTTACAATTTTTAAATCAAAATTAAATAACTTGTTTTTTAATTTACATAAGGTTAATATAACATTCTCTGCCTTTTCAGCATTATGTCATGACATTCTGGAATTCCTTGAGTCAAATTTGTCTGAATTTAAACATTATTTGGCTTCTGAGGTCATAAAACCATGGCAGTTATAGATCAGGGATAGATCAGGAAACATATTAAGGGCAGGGATTCTGGTTAATACAGAAATTGCCATTATCACTGAGAGGTAAGACAAAGTAATTGCAATGTTTTGGGTATCTGTGCACTAATTGAGCACTAGTATTTTTTTGCAAGAATCAGAAAAAAGGTGCAATACAGATAAGTATCACACATTATCCTGCCCTGCTAATACTGCAGGTAACTATACAGAAAAAGAGCCACAGCAATATATAACCATTCATTCAGTGAGACCTGCTACGAAAGGTAACTGAAAATGTTTTGGGTTTGACATAAAAGATTCCATATCAAAGAGGGTACAGTAGGGCTGGAGAGTGGGAAGAAGGATTTGTTTATCTTAGGAGTGTGGCAGCTCAAGAAAATTTCCTAGCAGCGTACAACAGCAAGAATCAGGAAAATCACTAGACAGAGCATAGTTTAGCTGTATACAGTTCAGCGAGGAAGACGGGAAACCAGATGGAGGGCAGTTTTGACTGTTAACAATTCAGAAGCTACACCATGACAAAGTGGAGACTGCACCAATATGTGGGCTTAACCCTCACCCCTCATACACATACTGTTTTCTACAGTTACTAGCAGTATGACCTCATCGACACTTGTTCAGCTTGATACACAGCGGGGGTGCTGATATCCATCACTCATATAGAGCCAGTACAAGGTCTTAGCACCATAAAAGACCCATGGCCTGCTGAGGGGTTGTGTGGTGCCAAGTCTTGTGAATTACAGCCAGTTCCTGAGTTATCCTCGAGGGCTCTGATCACTGTACCAACCAAGGCATACTTATATAGGAACTATCAACAGATGCCCCATTTCCCCACCTTCCATTTTCTCCCCCAAAATAAGAAATAACCTGCAACCACTGTGACACACAGCAGCTGTGACAGATAAACAATTCACTTTCCCATGCATGAGACACTACAGCTCCAGCCTATAACATTCTGGCAAAGATACTGGTATCAAGACAGCATAGCTTTCCAAACGGCACTGCAGGCTATTCTGTCTCTGCTATTTGATGATCACTCCTGACCCTGAACTAGTCTTTAACATTGTAGGGAAAAAAATTAGCAACTAAAACTTCAGAAAGAATTCAGCACTGATATATATACTCTTTCACAGGGGCAGAGCATGTCAGCACAACAATGAACCCTGGCAAAGCTTCTTTAATAGACTAGCCTGAGAGAGATGCAAGCACCATATTTTGTCAACAGAGAAAGGAAAACAGGAACAAACTGAAATCTTAATATCTTTAGCAGCTACTCCCCCAAGGCTTTTCTCAGGGGCAGAGAGTTCATTTGTGCATGTGCCAGTTACACAGCCAGTGACGGCCGAATGAAACAGAGGGGGGAAAAGGGATTCTTCTCCATGTAGCTATCACACTTCGATGAATTTTCTTCTTGTATGACTTACTGACAAAACAACAGAAATCCAGGTCTTTCCAAAGAAACAATGCGAAACACCTGACCCAAGGAACTCTGAATCTGCCTTTAGTTTCCCACAGAAAAACAGCAGCTTTATACTTCCGGTCTGCATGTCTTATTTTAGATTACAGAAAATATTTGCACAGATCACTTACTGGGATGAAAAGTTAGGATTTGATGCTACAAGATCCCAAATCTCTTTCTTCCACTAAAGCAAAAAACATCTGATGGTCAAAACCTCCTAACTTTAGTTGCTGTTAAACTGGATTTGATTTTGTTTTATAGCAATCTTCATCAGCCTTACTATTTTTGAGGCCTTCTCCTATTTTGTGCATGACTGCTAGCAAGTGTGGATTTACAGACTTCAGAAATACAGAACAGTACTGGCAACTACACAATGTTGTTGCAACAGTTGGTGGTCTTGAAGAAGAGGAAGGTTGCAATAAGCATGCACTACTCTTGCAAGAAATCTGGAACAAAACATTTGGTGAGTTGTCTACACATGCTGCTAGAATCAATGGTTGTTCAAAAGATACATTTGGTGAGTTGTCTACACATGCTGCTTGAATCAATGGTTGTTCAAAAGACTGTAGTAATCTAGGGATTCTGTACAATAACTTAGTGCCCTACGAAATTTAAATTACAACATCCTTTGCATTGCTGATGTTCTATTTCAGATAGCTTCCAGCCAGATACTGGGCTAAGTTTGTGTTTGAATACACTACAGCCAATTTCCTGAGCAAAAGACACCTGGTTCTTTCTAACTAAAACTAAATGTAATGAAATGTAACTAAGAGTTTCATTACTTCTGAAAGTGCCAGTTAAAACCCAAGCACATCTGTGTGGTTTTTTTGTTTGGTTGGGTTTTTTGGTGGGGTTTTTTTTAAGGACTATTCCAAACCAGATTTGTGAACACTGGTGAGAAAAGTTGGCATCTTCTGCTTTTATTCCCATAGTACCTGTACACTGTATGCCGCTCTGGGAAAGTGCTTTTTCCTGGCTCCTGAATAGCTACCGAGGCTTCAGACAGACAGTCTTTACAAAGGTTCTCACGTTGCAAATTTCCTCCTGTACTTGAGCTTTTTACTGCAAGGAATTAATGAACAGGAAGAAAACCCTCCCTTGGCTTTTACTTTCTAATCAGAATTTGCAGCAGTAGCTGTCAGAAATAGCATTTTATTTATAAACAGGTAAGGTTTGAGATAGCTACCAAGGTGCAAACATAGAGCATTCCAAAGCCACCTCATAATCCCTTCCCAGAGTCAAACTGCACTTTAAAACAGTACTTTAAAAAGTATGAACTGTCTTAAACCACCAAATGACCTGGCACTTCAAATAAATATTTCCAAAAACCATCATAAAGATGATCGATTGTTTCTACAGAAGTTTAGCCATTAGCTTTCCACCATCACACAGCTTTAAATTAAAGATGGAAAGGGTGATACAGCTTCCCTGATAGTTCTCAGTAAGGGAAGCACCGTAGAACCTTCAAGGCCCCAACCAAAACCAGGGACTCCTGCAGAAGTAGAGTTCATATTTATGAACTACAGCATCCTGCTCTGAAAAGCTCATTTCCCAAACTATGTAAGGTATTTTCTAGGAGTCACCATCTCTGAGATTATTAAGTCTCAGAAGCAATCAGAGTACCAGTAACTTCCTTTGCAACAGATTTATAGACATTATCCACAGTACAAAAGTATTTGACATTAAATAGAGGAAAATTCTGAATCCCTCCCTAGGTCTGTACTGGCCACTGATAAAGATTAGCCCAACGTAAACTAAATACATTAGTAAACTAGCACATTTAATGGGGACAACAGAAAGTAAGTCAGATCCTGAAAAGTCAGGTAGTATTGTAATTATGTATAGTGTTGTAACTAAGTGTTGTGACTCAAACTACTTTCTGGGATTTTAGAATTAGAGTGCCCCATTTCTGAGCTTTTCTCCCCAGAAGAGATATGGGAATTAGACATATTCATTTAAGAGTTTGTATGGCATTACATAATTAGAGAACTCAAGAACTAGTGCTCTATTAGTAGTAATAGTAAGGCTAAGAAGAAAACTTACAAAGTTTTAGAGTCAGTAACGTTGAATGCTGAGTTAGTGGGGATTAGAAAATTACCTAAATTGATGTAATGAAAGCAGTTTTTTTCATCAGATAATAAGCAGACAAAATCATGCCTCTCAAAAGAAAAGGCTAACATCAACACTCCAGCCTTCAAACAAAAACCACTACTGAGTGTCTGAACACACTGCAGTCACAGGGGACCTCCTTTAAAGCTTAGCTGGCTGACACTGGGGCTTGTGGGGATGATGAGACAAGTTGTCTGCATTAGTAATTTGTTTTAAAGCCTCTTCCACACCACCACGTCAGGTTCAGGAGAAAGCTATAGCCTAAGAAGTACAGATGTGGGTGACGAATTTGATTCAGACTGTGAGTTAATAACAACTAGGTTAGCCAATGGGCTAAATGGGAGTGATGACACACACAGCATGAAGGGAGCCTGCCTCATGACCTGTCACTGAATTCCCAGTAATAGCTATGAACTGCTCTAGTATTTCTGAACAGATTAAAGGTCACCAGTTTTGAAAGGGGATTTTAAATTAGCTTTCATACACATGATTCATTTTTACTTTGTATTGGGTTTGTGCGGCAAGCTTTTGGTAGCAGGGGGGCTACAGGGTGGTTTCTGTGAGAAGCTGCTAGAAGCTTCGCCTATGTCTGATAGAGCCAATGCCAGCCGGCTCCAAGATGGACCCACCGCTGGCCAAGGCCGAGCCCATCAGCGATGGTGGTAGCACCTCCGGGATAACATATTTAAGGGCGGGGGGGGAACCTGCGCAACTGCAGCCGAAGAGAGGAGTGAGAATATGTGAGAGGAACAACTCTGCAGACAGCAAGGTCAATGAAGAAGGAGGGGGAGGAGGTGCTCCAGGTGCC